ACTGGTGCAATATTACTGCAGTTGTAAACTGTATAAGTGAAAGTGGATTTCCAATAGCAACTGTTCTCATTCCACATGCTGTCCGGTGTTCAGGTGCAACTGCTTTCCTATGGTTCACCTTGGGAGTTACGATTGGTCCGTGGATTGGATCGTTCGAATGGAATCCACGGTATTCTGTCTCGGTAAAACCGCTACCAGAAAGACCACTTGTGTTCGTCGGTGGTCATGAGAGCTCCGGTGAGTCTGTCTGTCAATTACCACATACTGAATTTTTTGATTGATGGATTGCGTGAAGCATAGTTCCAACGAGTGTACATAACTGTGCTGATATGAGCGAAGTGTGACATTGGTCGCACACTTGCAATGATGGATTCGTGTTTGCTTGCTTGATTAGGGTACAGGTGAGATGAAAACGGTCTAACCAAATAATAAGAATACAGGTATTCGACCTGTTCTATCCTAAACAGGATCGATAGATTGATTCTCGGAGCTGATCGAACCCCATCATTTTAAAACAAAACTGTGCTTCCCAGTTTTTTTAATTTTCCAAGTCAAAACTCATCCGCCCTGTACATAACGAAATCCGTCGTGAACTGAATTTTGATCCAAACCATACACACACACACCTCATTGATTGAGCACGTAAGAGATGATCAATTCTGTTTACATATATATTATTATGCAGCCAACTTATTTCTCTATGGAAGTTTGCCTTTCATCTGGTCACACTATCCGCAGCATGCTTTGTGTGTGTGTGTTTATGTATATATGACCCGCTCAATTTCACCCACGTTCACCTCAAAACAGGGACCGGTCTGATGCGAATCATGTTGGATGCGCATCCAACCATACGATGCGGAGCGGAACCGATGATCACTTTGGACGTATTGAACTTGCATGAAGAAGTTCGAACCAATATGTTGGGACGTGCGATCGAGGCGGGAATTTACCCAGATGCACTCAATAATGCAACTAGAGCATACATTGAGGAAACTATTCAACGTATGGGACCGGACGCACCTGTACTGTGTCACAAACAACCAACCACATTTCAACACTTGGCCACTTTGGATCAGTTATTTCCCACAGCAAAATTCATACATATGTTTCGTGATGGACGCGCAGCGGTAACGTCCTCTATAAAGTGAGTCATACGAATCTGTACCGTCTCACCATCGTTCTGGTCGCACTCACTCACACACACACACACACACAAACTTATTAAAATCTTGCCCCGTTAAACCTTGTGGGAAGCATGGCTCAAGCATACATTTACGTGCGGTGATATCCCAATCATGGTGAATGAATAAATGAAGTCGTTTTATGTAGTTATACAGCATTGAAATGGCTACCCATGATAATGCAGTTTTTCTTCAATCATTTTACTCAACACGAAAGGGAAGCGGTCAACCAAAGGAATGTCACAGAACACCAAGAGTGGAACAAGCCAAACGATGATGTTAAGATTTGACTACACGTACTCCAGGGTTAAATCCGGTAAATCCGCCACCACCATCACCAGCGCTGTACCTGGCAGGTAAAGACAATGGACAGCGTGAGCCTGCAGATCAGTAGATAAAACGATTGAATTCTCGGCAGATAGTGGACATATCTATCCGCATATGGAAGACTGATCTGTGCGGTACTGTTGTTCGTTACTAATTAGAAACTCCTAGTCTATCTATTGGTCGCTACTTCATCTTGTGGGTGAATTATTTCTACACACTGAAACAGATCCCAATTCTGCGTAATCCAAACCTTCCCGTTTCAGGCGGAAATTGCTTCCCAGCGATAAACAACAGTCGTCAATGGAGCGTTGGCATCAACATGTACTGAACATTATGAGAGACTGTGAGAAAATGGGCCCGACCCGTTGCATCCATGTGCGGTATGAATCGTTGATTCTGCACACAGAGCAGGAAATGCGTCGAGTGTTAGGTGAGTTCCAACGTGTCTCCCTCCATTGTGATGGAATAAAACCTACTCTCGCTCGACGTGCATCGTCTAATTTTTCTTGGAACAATAGTCTACCAAAAGGCTCCATTTTCTCTTCGATTGTACTTTCGCCAAATGCTTTATCCAAATGTCAAGTCAAGTCAAATCAAAGGTAACCAAAATAAAAACAAAAGTAAATCGGCACACAAAATTGCATGGTGGATGGTTAAACTAAACCCTCGACACCCTCGATACAATTATTTCTGGAAGCTCCCAAAAGACTATTTGTGGTGAGCGTGTAACGAATACGCACGCACCATGATACAGCGTCCAGGTAACCAATCAAAACACGGATTTACCGACAAATCCTGTGGTCTTAAGAAGCACTAACCGGATTGGTTGAATGCAAGAAGGAACACAAATGAACCATAACTTTCGGATTGGATGCTGAAGAACTGACCAGTAATTGCTTGATGCTTGTGATATTTATTTGCATGATTTTCTAAAAAGATGTAACAGTTCGTTCTGGTTCTACCTGATTTTGCGCTATTCAGCAGGTTTTCAGTTCACGTCCGAGTTCGCGCGATTCGATTCCTATTCCAAATGTTACACTATTCTAATCCAGATAAACCATAAATCAAGTACTGCTTTTTCCTCGTATACAGAAATAAAGGATTATCTTCTCATAATAAACCTGCGGAAATACGACGCCTAAAGTGGCGCATCGTAATAGGGCGTGCGATTCGTTTTACAAAGGAAGAAACTTTGGCTGATCGGATGAACGATTTAAACAGGAACCATCTTTTCTCCGAATTCTTCTTTTTTTACATACACACCAGTTTGTGATGAATAGCAGACGAGATGAATCCCGACAGACACAAAGACCTGCTTTTCAGTTATAGTTATCGGCAACCTGTCCCCCAAGAGTACCGATCACGAGCCACATACGGCCCCGATAGGTCAGGTGTGGTGTAAAACCGGGCCACAGCAAAGCTGTCTACCGCCAAAGTTGTCTGGCATTTGCATTGGGGCTCGAACCTCGGACTACAGGGTCCAAAGAATGCGGATGACATCGATTAAACTACTACACCACCATCACCCTGATTTAATAATCTAATCTATCTTGCTGTCTATTTATATGATCTAAAATCTAACAGACAAGGAGTTGGTTCACAAATTCCGGACGTTGAGATACAAGATACACAGAAAACCGGTGCGAGTTTATTCTCTCCTCGTCCCCCCCCCACCACCACCACTGAAACTGGGATCCTTAGAAAACATTTTCCATCCCAACCAGAGTGAAATACCCGGTATTCGTCGTGATAGCGATTGTGGGATTTATTCGTTGGGATACATCGACACAACATTGTGCTACCTACCACCCGTTACGTGGGATCAGCGTAATTAGAGGAGTTTGACAAATAAGAAGTCCGGAAAACGGCATTTGGCTGTATAGAGTCCCCCCCCCTCCACACACACACATGCTAAAACGACACACGTTCCAGCCAGTTAGCCCGGATTTTTACATTCATTAATTAGTATCACCAGTTAGAGTTCATAGTGAATTAAAAAACAGACCAATCTACATCCAGTGTTAAGCAATGGCACGGAGAACGTGTGTTGTTTTACACAGTATTCATTTTGAAGTAATTTTATTTACTTGTTTTGTTTCGGTGCACATTCATAGATTTTATCGGAGTCGCATGGGATCCCATAGTTTTGCGCCATGAGACAATCCAAGACAAATTGACTAATCTCAATTCGTAAGTGTCACTCACGAGTAACTGTTGTTGTTATTATTGGTGTTCTTCTGACCATTTTCTTGTTGTTTCATTCATGATGTCAGTTGCTGTTGTTGATGTTGTTGTTATGTGAAAGTGGAAGACAGCAGACGCTGAGCTGCGCTGGTGGAAACTCTAAAGAACAGTTCAGGATGAGGAATGGAATAGAAGTTGTCATGTTATCATAGCGAATTAATGGCACCGTGTTATTTTACATTTTAGTAACGTTCGATTGCCTCCATCATTCTGCGATCCTTGGCGGGCTGTAATTTCTTTTTTTCATGGATGTTCCATGATGATCTGTTTTCTCGGGCTACACACGCCTAATTACATTTTGTCAGTCCATATAGGTTATTCCTATTTGAGCGCATTCGGTTGTGTAGCAGGTGCTGGAAAGAAGTCAATTCAAGAAGGGTAGATCTTCAGCAGTTTACGATTTTTCAGTGGATAGATATGACAGTTGCAAACAAAAAAAGACAATATAAGAAATTCTACACTTTAATAAATGAGAGAAAAATTAGGGCAAGAGTTTTTCTCTGAGGTGGGTGAGAATATGCTGATGATTTACTAGTTAACGAGCTAGATATGTAGTTACACCGTATCGATATGTGGAAGTCCGCGCAGGAAGCAGTTGATATTTGGAGCGTGTCCAGGAATTTGACAGTGCTTTCACGTTATCTTGGTGCAGACAGTGCCCTTGATCACCTGTTATCTTCTCAGTGAATGTATCACAAACGTCAAGATGCTTGGAAATCAAGAAATCAACTAAAACAACTCTATCAACTCCACTGTGGCGGGACAAAAGTTTAAGGGATCTTGAAAATAAAGTGAGGTCTTTTTCTCTCAGTCCAGGGATAAAAATCGGGGAGCAGTCAGTATAGCAAGTGTGGAAGAATGCAGGCAATCACAAATTTAATAATAAGCTTATATGGTACGGCCGGTTACCTAAGCCTGTAAGCATGGAAAGACAGTTTTCGAACTTTTGTGAAAACTTTGATAACATGAGAAGACCAGGACAGGTTATGGGTAAGGGTGACACCAAGGTATTTGACAGATACAGACTTGGGAATGCTTTGATTGTTCATTCTAAGATCAGGAAGATTATCAACTGATGAAAGATAACGGGGACCGGTTTTAAGACCTAATGGAACTTCGATGCACTTACTGACGTTCAGTCTAAGGGATCGGGTCGCAGACCAATCGTGAAGTTCATTAAAACTGTCCTGGAGAGGTCAAAAACTGTCTGAAATAGGAGCTGGGCAACCAATCACAATATCATCAGCATACTTACATGCAGTAAAGTTGATGAATATGAGCAGATTTTGTATACCTATAGAAAACAAGAACGGGGACAAAATGGCACCCTGAGAAACACCAGCTTCAATGCTAATAGAAGAAGACTGTACACCATTGAGTGAAGTAAACTGAGTCCTATGGGAGAAGTAGTTGATTGGTACATTTAAAACTTTGGGAGTTAGACCACACTCAAAAAGATGATCAATAAGCACACTTTGGTCGAGAGAACCAAAAGCGTTTGTCTAGTCAAGAAAAGTTAAACGAGTGGTACTAGCGCCATTGTCTAAGACGGAAGCAACAGAATGAACAATATGAGCAGCGGCGTCAAGTGTGGGGTTTATAGGCAAATTGTAAAGGGTCATGGGAGTTACAGTGGGGTGTCATGCGGTGCGGCAAAATATTTCCAAAAGCTTTCAGCAACACAGATGTACAGACAATTGGACGATACTTTGACGATCCTCTCTTTGGGATTGGTCTGATCCGGGCTGACCTCCAACAATGGAGGATCGTTCCAGATGACAAACAATTACTGAACAATTCGGCAATGGGTGTCACAAGCTGTTCGGCGCAGGCTTTCAACAAATGAGGTGCTAATCCATTGGAACCATGAGCTTTATTGACCTTGATTCTCCTCAAAACTTGGAGGACCTCTTCCGGAGAAACAGGGTTAGTTGCATCACGGGTAGGTAAAAAGAGGTGGAAGGGAGCTAGATGCAGGTACAGAAGCAAATTGACGGTTAAGTACCTCAACGTTCGGACAAGAACTGATGCGTGAGCCGCAGAGTTTCCGCAAGTTAGTCCACGTCTCACGAAAGTTTTTGTTGCCCAAAACAGTCTCGGCGTATATTCCATCTAGGCGTCTTACTTCTGCTCTAGTCAGAACAGAGAGCTCTTTGACACTGTTACGCCTGCTGGTCACGTAAGCCGTCTCTTTCGGACGACGAAGTCGCTTAAGAAGGAGAGAGAAAAACCTATCGGTTCGAATATAAACAGTTTCAACAGAACAACATTGGTCATAGCAGAAATTAAGATAATCGATAAGGTGTTCACAAGAAGAAGACAGCTGGTTATGGAAGAACAGAGAAAAGTCAGTGGAAGAAACTGAGTCCCGCAGTCGGGACAAGTTCTCAGGAGAACAATTTCTCTTCCGTAGCGTACGAGAGATGGAACGTGTATGAAGGCAGTGATTGGTTTTGAAATATATTTTGGGGTAAAGAAGAACGGTACAAAGGTTAGAAGTGCCAATTGGGGCTCGTTTAAAAACGTCAGACATATTGGAACCATTTACATAAATGCCATTAAGAAAATCATTTTTACGGATTGGAAAATTGACAAGGTTCTTTAAGTTTAGAGTGCCTAGAAAGGAGGTATTAATGCGATTAAAGGACTGGTCAATACAATTGGTGAATTGTGTCACTACAGTATCAGAAAATAGTCTTAAGTCGGGGGCGAGTTTATCAGGGGCAATATAAATATTTAAAAAGTAAATGAAGCGAAATCTGCTGAGAAAGTGGGGCTTGCAGCAAACAAAATTACAGTTAATTCTACTCGTTAAGTAGGAACAAATCAAACTGGTCTGCACCAGTTCTCTTGTTGTGGCTGAACCATGGGATCGATTGATAAATGAGCCCGATCGGTGGTGTGATTTTTGGGCCGGCACAGGAAGAGGATAGGTTCCGAATCCGATGCTGTTCAGGTGTTAGTAGGGAATCATCACAGGAGAATCAGTTGTGGGACGATGCGTCATGTGTCACATTCGGAAAGGAAGAAGTTCAAGCGATAATGACACTGAGTCAACGCTTGATTCGTCTAAGATAAACGCACTACGGACTACAATATCCACTAATGTAGGCCCACGCCAAACTCGTCTTGACATTTTCCAAACTGGCTGTTTTCGCGTTGAGCGGTCTCTCTAACTAAGTTTGAGATGGAATTCGGAAATAAAAGACAAATATTTTGGTAAAATAAGTTTTTATTTTATAAAAGTTGCTCAGTATGTTTTTCTTCCTGCTACTTGCATAGCAAAATCCGGTGAAGACAGTTTTCTATCACCTTCAGAATGGTAGCAGTTGAAACACTTTTGCACATTGCGACGATACTCTGTTCAAGCTCCTTAATTGTTCTCGGCGTTTGAGGATAAACTGTTCGCTTTAGATATCCCCATAGAAAGAAATCCAACGGAGACACATCAATTGATCTTGGAAGCCAATCCTTTGGTCCTCCTCAGCCAATCCATGAGCAGTTAGATTCCGAATCGAGGAAGTGGGAGAAATTACCGCTAAATTAGATCCAATTCGCTTTGACCAACTCAATTCATGTTCTGTGTGCCGTAGCCATAACAGTTTGGTGCTCTCCTTCGACGATTGGCGCACAACCACAGTTTTCCTCAATTCTGCGTGCAACTTTGTGCCTAAAAACACACTAAAAGGTTACCCCTAAATGAGAGCAAATCAAAACTTGGGCATAGCTGTTCCACAAACCAGGGAATAGAAACGAACACAACTCTATAGAGTTTACAAATTTTCTATATAGGTTTATTCGCGTCTATTTGTCATCCGTTTGTGCTCAGTCGCATGACTGTACAATTTCGTCCTATACAGTTTAACCTATACGAAAATGTGATCATGTCAAAGTGAATCACTCTTAGA